ATCAGAGTCATTACTGATCCAAATCAGGGACACCCCCTTAGCATTGGGGGGTTTAGCTACTCATATTGTTCAAAGAAAATACAATGTAAAAAGTAGACATTACAAGTATTTGGATAAACTCATATCGTCGATTGCTTCCGCTCATGAAAAACATTCGCCCTCCGAAAACCTTGTGATCTCCAACTTTGATCGTAAAATTCTTCTCCAGTTCAAAGTCCTCTCTTTCATTGTCAAAACTCATCTAAATAGTCAAAATCCAATAACAGCAGTGGAAAATGCCAAAAATACCCCCACAGGTCATTACTCCGTGAAAAATTAGCAAAGCAAGAAAAATCAGCGTCTGAGCCAACACGACCTGTTTCAACTGATACGGCTGGCCGTGTTGCTCTGTTGTTTCCTTCAAAAAAAATTTCTCTCTAGGCCTACTGATACGACGCGTGTCAGGTGACACGGGTGCCAGTGTTAGGTGACCTAGGTGCCCGCGTCAGTCCACTATCTCTTTTCAATTTCCATTGTCTCCATGTATGCTGACACGGCCCGTGTCAGGTGGCATGCGTGCCTGTGTTGCCCCCCTGTAGGATGGGCAGAATTCCACCGAAACTCCATATTTTTCCTCTTTCTCGCACTGAGTTCTTCCTGAATGCTTATCTGAACCTAAAAATATTAAAGAGACACAACCAAAGCATAAAATTTAGAAAAAGAGAAATAAAATGACTAAACATAGAACAAGATTAATTAAAATTAACGGTAAAAGAAAGCATAAAAACCACCGATCAACAACCTGCATAATTAGAGTCAATAAATACTTCAAATTCGACTTTGCTATCATCACCATAGGGTCCACCATAAATCAGGAATCTGGTCTGAGACCCATTGATGAACCAAAGGATCCACTTTAATGTTTACCATTGGGCCTTCCCAAGATTGGCCATATACCTGCTTATAAGGCTCACTTCGTACGATATGTCTGGCCTCGTATAGACCATAACATACATCAAAGAACCTATAATACTAGCATATGGAATATTTTCATATAGGCTATTTCGACTTCAATACTATGACTTTGAGTTATACTCAACTTGTATTAAGGATTAGTTGGTGTTAGAACAGGTTTTAAGTTTGACATACCAAATTTTTCGAGAATTTTCTTCAGATATGTCTCTTCAAATAAGCATAATCTCGACTACTTTCTATCTCTCCTGAAGTCGATCCTAAGAATTTTGGATGGAGCCCCTAAATCCTTTATGTCAACTCCTTATTGAGTTCATTCTTCACCTTCATAACATCTTCGAAGTTGTTTCTTGCTATGAGGATGTCATCCACATAAAGCAACAAAATAACAAGTGAGTTTCCAGGTCAAAATATGAAGTAAACACAGTGGCCTAACTGGATCCTAGTGAAGCCAATGTGTGCCATGAACTTGTCAAAACTCATATTCCATTGTCGAGGAGAATGTTTCAAGTCATACAAATACCTATTCATCTTGCATATACATAATTTTCCTTTCCCTTTTTTGCATACCCTTCAGGTTTCCTCATCAGGATTGTTTCATTTAGATCACCATATAGGAAGGTTGTATTCGTGTCCATCTATTCAAGTTCTAGGTATAACTTTGTTACCATGCCTAACAACATTCTAATGGATCTATGATTTACAACTGGTGGGATACACCTCCTGTGATATGGTTCAATACACCACAGTCTATAAGCTTTGACTCTTTTAGAGTATTCAAGGAACATACAGTTCAGAGCTCTGGGTTCGACCTTGTCTTGCCTAATGTGAGCATAAGCTAAGCAGCTAAATACTCTAAGCTTGTCGTGATTGGGTGGATGTTTCAACCAGACTTCTTTAAGTATTTTCATTCCCAAAGTTGTCGAGAGACACCTAATTATCATGTATGTTGTAGTCATGACTGCATCAACCCAAAACACCTTTTTCGTTCTTGCATTAACTAACATGCACCTTACTCATTCCAAAATGGCTATATTAAACCTTTCATCCAAACCATTTTGTTGGGGAGTACCTGAAGTAGCTCTGTACCTTGCAATACTAGACGTATCACAATAGTTATCGAAAGTATCATTGCAAAATTCAAGACCACTATCGGTCCTCAACCTCTTAACCTTCCTTCCAGTTTGATTTCCGACCAGAGTCTTCCAACTTTTGAAATTTTTAAAAGTTTCATCTTTAGTCTTCTTAATGAATACCCATAACTTTTTGGAATAATCATCAACTACAGATAAGAAATACTTTGCACCTGAGTGTGAAGGATTCCTTGTAGGCTCCAAAAGATCAGCATGAATGTAATCAAGAGATCCATGTGTTATTTGTTTACCTTTGTTAAACTTCATTCTACATGATTTACCATATACACAAAGTTCACAAAACTCCAGTTTTTTGACCTTATCACCACACATCAGATTTTGTTTTGATAATTCAATCAGGCCTCTTTATCTGACATGGACAAGTCTCTTGTGCCATGGCTCAATCTTCGTCTCAGGTTTCGTGGATACCATATCTGCTGAACCACCTACAACCTCAGCCTCAAGGGTATACAAGCCTTGTTTCTTCACACATCTCAAGACTCCCTTCGAACCCTTCATTACCTTTAGGATACTTTGCTCTCCTTTAAAAACATATCCTTTCTTGTATAATTCACCAAGATAAATCAAATTCCTCTTAAGATCAGGTACATGCCTAACATCAATCAATAGCCTTATTGACTCATCATGGAGCTTGAATCTCATAGATCTAATACCTATAATTTTGCAAGCTTTGTTGTTTCTCAGTAGCACTGACCCACCATATTGATCATACAATTTGTTAAACATGTCTTTATTTGGAGTCATGTGTCAAGTACACCTTGAATCCATAATCCACTCTTTGTTAGAGTCGCTGCTCGAAACCATCAGGACATCCAATGTTTCATAACCATCTTGCATAATAACTTCATTACCATTATCCTTTCCACCATGAATGTTCTGTCGATTAGGGCATACTTTTCTTGTATGACCCTCCTTCTTACAACGATAACACTTAATAGAAGGAGAATTACCACCATAAGAATTATGTAGAATTTTACCATTCTTCTTCTTAAACCTACCATATTTCTTCAAGAATTTCCCTTTAACGGACAAACCTTCACCAAAACAAGATGGTTTTTTCTCCTTTCGTTTGTTCAAATCCTTATAGTACAAGGAAGATTGAACATCTTCAAAGGTCAACAAATATCTTCCTTACATGAGAGTTTCTTTGAAATAAGTATGAGACTTAGGTAAATAGCACAACAACAACAACGTTTGATCTTCATCATCAATCTTGACCTCTATATTCTCAAGATCAAGAATTAACTTATTGAAATTATCCAGCTGCTCAACCAAGAATTTATCTCCACCTATCCTGAATGAATACAAAGTTTGCTTCAGGTAGAGATAATTAACCACCGATTTTGTCATGTACAAACCTTCAAGTTTCGCCTACACACCAACTGGAGTTTTCTCCTTTAAAACCTGCCGAAGAACCTTATCACCAAGACACAATACAATGGCATTGTGGGCTTTTTAGACTATCTTTGTCTTCTCCATCTACGATGAGGCAACATTCATCTTCTCTGATCCTTTCAACACTTCTAACAAACCCTGTTGAACAAGAAGGGATTGCATCTTCAAGCGCCACAAACCGAAATCATTCACCTTGGTAAATTTCTCAATTTTATACTTTGTTGATGACATCTTTTCCTACATGCTTACTGCACCAGTTTGTTGTGAAACGATATCACTAATAACATAACAAAGTTATGAGATAAATAATATATTTCTTAAACAAACACAAGAAACCCTATTAAGTTTAACGAAAGAGAGAGAAGAAGGAAGAAGAAGAAGAAGAAGAAGAAGAATTGGTTAAAATTGTTTTACTATTCCCTTTCTCAATAGAGGTTCAAAGATTACAAGTGGATTCCAACAAACTAACCTCTCTCAACAACCTGAGAGAACTAATGTATTTATAAACTACTAAGCTAACTTAAGTTACAAGCTAACTTAACATTTGCGCTTACAAACAAAGCCCAATTCGACATGCTAACTTAAACAGAAAGCTAACATATTTCGATAGCTTGCTTGAACAGACTTCGACTACAACATACACAACTTATGTCAAACCATGAGGCTATCCTTGTCGACACTAGAGTTCGGTCCAAATACCACACTCTATTCTCTAGTGTCATTCCTATATAAAGGAATAGAGTTTGTCTTTTGAATTGTATTCAGTTTCATCATTCTTTCAGTATTATAATAATCCAAATACTTGGAAAAATGATTGAGAGAAAGTGAGAGGACTCTCATATTTAGGAGGAATACTTAATAGAAATTTACGGATAGTACTAAGAAAAAGACTTTGAACTAGAAGGGTTCAACAAAGATCAATTTGTACTTTTACTATTAAAAGTGAATTTCTTTTTTTGGATCAACATCCTCCAGACATAAATATATTAACACCAAACTGAATTACCAATTACTTTTGTCATTTTATTTACTCGCAATTCTTTAATCTTGTCACACACACATTGTATTTGATATCTTTCATTAAAAGAACATAATTTCAAAAGACATGATGATCAGAGAGAGCTGCAGCGAGGGTTATGTTACTTTGTGACTAAGTAATGAACAATGTTTTGATCGTCCAATTTTTGTTTAGAGCCATTTTCAACTTTTTTGTTTCAATCCTCATATCAAGAGATACAAGGCTTATATAATAAATTAGAACAATTAACTTTATCTTAAATATCAACCAGTTAAGCAACTTTATCTATGTCTTCACACAAGTTGAAATGCGTTTATAATTATACTTCCAGCTTAAAATAGTACACAAGAATGTTAAAAAATCAACAACAACAAAAATAAAATATATTGGAAATAAAATGGACAAAATGAGAATTTTTTTTTAATATATTTCATTTATAAATAATAGCTAGAATTCTAATAGGATAAAAGAAAGAATTTTGTTTAAGTATCCATGTTGAGCATGTTAACAATCGAAAGTGCTATAGCAGAAAGCTGAAAAACATTTTTGTTTCTCTTTGTCAATGGTGAAATCACATCTTTCTTTTGCTTGAATCCATCATCACAAGTTGTTGAAGCATCAATGATTGAGCTAAGCTTGAAATTACAATCTTCATAACGCTTTGCCTTATAATCTCTAATGGCTTCTCTAAAAGTTGTGATGGCATCAGAATATACTTCAAGACAATCCTCCAAGCATTCTTTAATAAATGGATCATTATTTTTCTTCTTTAAAAGCCTTTCGATGTAATCACTAGTATTTGTCACATTGTGCCTTGTTAATTTGATAGCTATGAGGCCTAATTCTTCAAGGTTTTGGGCACATTGACTCCTATGATCTGATTGGAAAGTTGTTGTGCAAAACTTGTAGCTTATGTTGGGATCATTTTTAGAGCAATTCTTGCATGTTTGTTGGATGAGATTGTTGGCATCAACAAAGGGATTGAAAGAACACAAGAAAAATGTGAGGGAGAGGAATAAGAAAGAGGAAGGACTCATTTTTCTTTGTTTTGATATTTTGTGTATAGGACTTTTCTTATAGTATTCAAGGTAACACTTTATAGATGCAAGAAATGGGGGTGTAGTGATGGGAAAGATTGTACTTTTTCTCAATTTTTATGGAGTGGAGAAGCAATGTAAGGTGCCGTCTAATTAAACAAAAAGGAATTAGAAGCTAAGTTAATTTGGTAATCATTAAAGGTGTGGAAGAATTATGGCCAAAAGATAGAAAGAATTGAGTAGGATAATGATTTGGTTACGTGAAGGAATTGGAAGGATTTGTTCTATCACAAATGTGGGAGAGAGAAGAGAGACATGGGAATTGATAGCTGCTACTTCAATAAGCTTTATTCAATTAACTTGCCTTTTAAACTATTAATAACAATGATATAAGAGTTTTTTTAGTGTCGATGTATAAATATTAATTTTTTTATATGTTTTTACAGTTTTAACCATGTTCAAAAATCTCCAATTAAATCAAGGTATTCACATACGTAAGTGCTTTGGTTAGTGATTTCGTGGGGGAAAATTGATTTGATTGTTCATCAAGTTTAATGAGACAATAATATTAAGGGTAATTGAAACCATATCAAAAAAGATAATGTATTAGGAAAAGACCTTGTCTTTTAACATCATCGATTACGTAGAGTTGCAATTATTTCTTGACTAGGTAGCTAAAATATGGCCATTCCTTGCATGTGATTGAGAATCCTCTAAAAGTTATGGTCATTTATTCTTGTAGTACTAATTCAGTATTGCTTTCTTTTGGGAATTTTTTTACCACTATAGACAATGAACCAAACCAACTCGAACATAGTTCGAAGTTCGATTCGATAACTAAATCGTTGAACTTAGTTCATGAACCAAATGAGCTGAATATGAGCCAAAAATTAAGTTCGTTAACTAAATGAGTTGAACTTGAACTATGTATAGTTCGACTCGTTAGGTTCATGAGTCAACTCGATTATTATTATTATATATATATATATATATATATATATATATATATATATATATATATATATATATATATATATATATATATATATATATATATATATATATATATATATATATATATATATATATATATATATATATATATATATATATATATATATATATATATATATATATATATATATATATATATATATATATAATGTTTTTAAATTACATATCTTAATAGTATCATTTAAATTAATGCATAGATTTTAACCTTTTAACTTATCAAATAAAATATTTAAAAGTTGTAAGGTTCTTAATTATTTAGATAAAATTGTAAGACAAAATTAAATTCTAATTGAGTAATTTTTGAATTAGAGTTTCAAATGTATATCTTGAAGATTGGTATTTGATAGTTTTTTATGTTGTAGATCTTTGAAGACAAAGTTAAATTTTAATTTGATAAATTTTATATTAATTCAGTATTAACTTAAAATGTCAAATACAAAAAAATAGATTTTAAAAAATGATTTTTAAGTTCGTGAACCATACGAGATGAACCTAATGAGATGAACCTAACAAGCTGAATTGAGTTGTTCGTGAACTTTAAACGAGTCGAGTTTGAGCTTAAAATAAAGTTCGTATCGAACTCGAGTCGAGTTTCGAGCTGAACATATTCTTATCGAGTCGAGTCGAGTTAAGACAAATTCAACTCGACTCGACTCATTTCCAGCCCTAACTATACCCGACATTTTAAACATTATGTGCTATATTACCCAACCTTTTAAAATATATCTTAATCTACTCAAGTTTTAAACATTTTTTTTATTTATTAAAGAGGGGGCGCCATCTAGGATGGAGGCACCCTTATAATTTTAAGGAAGGCGCCATCCATGATGAAGGCACCCTTAAAATTATAAGGGAAGCGCCATCCATGATGGGGTCAGCCTTATACTTTTAAGGGGACGCCGTCCCCTTTGGAGTCCCCTTATTTCGTTTAATTATTTAATTCAAATATAAATAATATAATAAATGTTTATAATATTTAATACTATTTTATACCAATTTTTTTTTGGTATAAATAGTTAGACTTGTTTTATCTAAATTAAAATTGTTTCATCTAAATTTAGGAGAGTGAATCATGTATCTTAGAAGATATGAGCATGTCATCCAAATTAATATTGTTTCATCCAAATTTAGGAGAGTGAATCATGTATCTTAGAAGATATGGGCATGTCATTTTCTCAAGAGCTAAGCCTCCGATAAGGATGTTGTTTTGGAACATCCAAAGTTTAGAGCAACTACGAAGAAATTTGAATCGCTGGTTAGAAGGAGACATTCCAAATGGTGAAAGCATTAGGAGTATTGAAAGACTTGTTTCGTACAACCATGTTCCATCAACCATGTTCCATCGACTTGAATAACCGGTTTGCAGAACGCAAAATCTTTGATACACGGTTGAAATGCCCAAAAGAGACGAGAGAATATCCTACTTCCATCAACACATGTTCCTTCAAGAGTGTATGCTGGAAATGACATGCTCATATCTTCTAAGATACATGATTCACTCTCCTAAATTTGGACGAAACAATGTTAATTTGGATGAAACAAGTCTAACTATTTATACAAAAAAAATTTGGTATAAAATAGTATTAAATATTATAAACATTTATTATATTATTTATATTTGAATTAAATAATTAAACGAAATAAGGGGGCTTCAAAGGGGACAGCGCCCCCCTTAAAATTATAAGGCTGACTCCATCATGCATGACGCCCCCTTATAATTTTAAGGGCGCCTCCATCATGGATGGCGCCTCCCTTAAAATTATAAGGGTGCCTCCATCCTGGATGGTGCCCCCTCTTTAATAAAAAAAATGTTTAAAACTTGGGTAGATTAAGATATATTTTGAAAGGTTGGGCAATATAGCACATAGTGTTTAAAATGTTGGGTATGGTGGTAAAAAATTCTTTTTTTGGAACATTTTGAGTTTGGGTGAGTGAGAATCATGATAAATTTATTAAAAAAATATTATGAAATTTAACATAAATTATTAAAATATGAAACTGTTGTTTTTGGACTCTCTTTTTATATGGATAAAAGTTAAATATAATTAGTTTATTTGTCTCAATTATTTAAGGGGAGAGGATCAATTTAGGTTTGAGAGAAATATAGAGAAAATAAAGATTCAAAAGAGAGAAAAGAGGAGAGAAACTCATTTTCGTTTTTTTATAATCAGACTCACAAAAATGATGATCCCCGATTCGTTGGTAGTCGGATCGAGCTCAAATTTAGAGGACATGTTCGTAAAATATGTATTTGAGGTAAGAGTTATCTGCTTCGCACTGAAGCTTCCGATTTGCGAATTTTTTTAGTTTTTTTATTCTTATTTGTAAGTTAGTTTGTTTTGTGATTTGCGATTGTTGGCACTAGTTTGAGAATCAATTTAAGACTCTTTTGTGCCCTTAATTGATTATAGTGGAGTTAATTGTTTGGTCTGGACGACTCGTGGTTTTTACTCTCATATTGAGGGGTTTTCCACGTTAAAAATATTGATATTATTTTGTGTCTTTATTTGTTCGATTTTCCATCTTATATTTGTTGATCCTACAAGTCTAGGGAAATTTATACTCGTTGCATGTCTGTTATTGTGTCTTAATTTTTCATTAGAGTGGCATCAGAGCTCTTAGTTAAGGGTTATTTTACTTGTTTGAATGATGGAGTCAAATATAAAGATGAAGATGGTATTGTTGAATGGTTCGAATGACCATTTAAGGAAGAGTAAGATGAAAGACTTACTATTTGTGAAGAAATTGCATTAATCAGTTTTTAGTTCCGCAAAGATGGATTCGTGCCTGATGAATAATGGGAGTTTGAACATCAACGAGTATGTGGTGTGTCTCTCACAAATATATGTTGCTCATAAGAAATTTCCCAAAGTAAAAATGCTCCCTCGTGTTTGTCCCCCTTATTTGATAGCTCCAACAATGAAGATAATGTTTAAAATCATATTGCTAATGAGACACATGCAAAATTTTTGTGGAAAAAGATAAAGTCCTTGTATGCCACTAAATTAGGAAATAATAAATTGTTCTTCTTGAATAAATTGTTCTTCTTGAATAATAAATTGTTCAGATCACTTGAGTGAATTTCAAGGGCTCCTTAATCAGATGTTAGGAATGAGTATTAAATTTGATGATGAATTTTTAGGACTATTTCTATTGTTATCTTTATCAGAGTCTTAGGAGACGTTTCAGGTTTCTATCACAAGTTTTACTCCTAGAGGTGTTGTTTCTTTGGAAACGGCTAAGGGTGGTATTCTTAATGAAGAGATGAGAAGGAAGGCACAGAGTTCTTCATCTCAACCCGAGGTACTTGTCACTAAAAATAAGGGGAGAAGTCATAAAAAAGGAACCGAAGGGTGGTAGAGAGAATAGCATAAGGAAGTCCAAGTCGTTATACAAGAATCTGGAGTGTCACTATCATCACAAAATAGGACACGTACAGAAGTATTGTTATGAATGGAAAAGAGATAACAAAGGCAAGAAGGTAAGTTTAAACAAAGAGATCATGAAGATCATGATGATGATTATGTTACTCTTGCTACTAGTGATGATCATATTATTCTTTGCGATCATGAGTCTATTAATCTTGTATCTTACGAGAGTGTGTGGATAGTTGACAATGGTGCTACATTGCATGTTACACCAAGGAAGGATTTCTTCACATCTTATACTTATGGTGATTTTGGAGTGTTGAAGATGGGTAATGATGGTGTATATAAGGTAATTAGTGTTAGGGATGTTTTCTTGTAAACCAACATGGGAATGCAATTGTTGCTTAGAAATGTCAAACATGTTCCAGATGTCTACTTTAATTTGATATTTGTGCATATGCTAGATGATTGTGGTTATGATAATCACTTTGGTTCTGGAAAGTCAAAACTCAACAAAGGTAACTTGGTTGTGGCTAGAAGGAAAATTTTTTCTAAACTGTATTGGAAAAAACCTTTGGTTGCTAGGGACAATGTGAATGCTATCAACATGGAAACGTC